TTTAAAACCGCAGTTTTAAAATTACATATTGCTCATTTGTTTTTATTTTTATATGGTTATGGATATATTTCGCTGACTTTTGAGAAAGTATCGGTTTTTGTGGTTAGTAATAATATCTGATTTTGGTGACGGTGTCCTAGGCATATCTGGTGGTTTTGGTGACGGTGTCCTGGGTATATCTGATTTGTCAGCTATCCTTGGTAACGGTGTTCTGGGCTAATAAGAAACATGCAATACTCAAAGATTATCTTTCAGAAGAAACAATTACATAGAACATAATTACATAAGATGAATCAGATGCCAACTTACAATATTGGTACTTCGTGTTCGAACTTTACGTTAAATAAAAGTATATATTAACTAAGATACAGTGTATTATTCTTTAGAAAAATAGGTTATATAGTCAGGCCTCTCAAAATGCAAGCTCTGACCCAAATATATACTTAACCTCTATAAATGCAATTTTTTATACTGTTCTCTAATATACGTGTCAAAAGTTGGTACAAGTTGCATCAGCTGCGGGAGGTAGAGTTGGTAAAGTCCTTAGGTTCGGGACTTTATGACCTAGTCTTTAGACCTGGTCTTTAAAGACCAAGTCTGAGTTTCAGGACCTAGAGTTCTTAGGTCTTAAAAAGTTCTAATATATAAATTTATAATAATTAAAATGAAATTATAAATTTAAAAATTATAAAATTTATTATTTATTAATTTAAATTTTTATTATTATTAATAATTTGCTAGCAAATTTATTCTTAAAATAATATACTGGTATATATAAAATAATATCATTTAATTTGATAACAGCAAAAATAATAACAATAATAATCTAATTATATTTTACTCAATTCAAATAATTAATCAAAAGTAAACTAATATGAATACATAGATTTTGCAAATACAAATTACAAATTTCTGAGAACAGCCTAATCAAAATATAGGAGTGTTAGTAAAAACCAAGCAAATTGTTTTTAATAAGTTTTTTAAAACTTTAAATTAAAATATCTCGATAGCAATTAAACCAAACTTGATAAATCTTTTTTTATTTTAATTCTATAAATATATAAATTAAAATAAAAATTTTTTTATCAAGTTTGGTTTAATAATTGTTGAGATATTTTAATTCAAAGTCTAAAAAAAATTTACTTAGAAACAATTTGCGTGGTTTCTACTGACACCCCCATATATATAATTTCAATTAAGCTTTAGATGCATAGTTTAAGATTACAGTATAGTAATTTATTTTAATGAATATAGTTTACAAACTGTTTCATAATTATTACACATTCTAATTGGTCAAATGTTAATATATACATATAGCGGATTTAGGTTCTAGGACCAAGTCTTGAACTAGGTCTAAATTAACTCAAGTCCTAAGACTGGTTTTATAAAGACTTGGTCCATAAGTCTATGCAATAAAACCTACAGGTTATAGGACCAGAACCGGACCAGGACTGACTTTACCATCCCTAGCGGGAGGTCTTACTATATAAAGATCAATATATTGATGTTACTTGCCTTCTTTTTGTTGGAATATGAATATGAATATGAATAATCGGAGAGATCAGAAGTACCATCATCACTCGGAAAAAAATAAGTCACCCTGGTTAGATAAAAAATAAAAATAGAATAGTATCACCTAATGAATACTTACTTCACTGCCAGAGTGAACAAGTACGTTCTTTCTGGATTTCTTTCTCCTACGAAGATATAAGGGCGGCATCATGAAATAATATAAAAATGATAAAGGACAAAGAGAAAAGACCATTTACCCCCCTCCTGGTCCTCTTGTTCTCTTTTATTGGAATTTTCGTTTATTTTAATGTTATTTACCGTTCAAGAGCTAACCAGATAGCATGTCGGATTATTTATGTTAATCAAAGGTTCACCAGCTGATTTATGTTCCTTATGTTCGTCATTCCAGTTTCTGGCTTTTTTATAATCAGGCTTATTTCCCTAAAAATATGTATATATGGGAAGTTATTAAATTATACTTTCATAATTCTCGATTATCCACCGGGTTGGCTCGCAGACTTAACAACAAATATAGCTCGCAGGTAATTTGATGCACCGGTGGTACTAGTATTGGGTCATCTCCAGACTTGAACACCGGGAAACTCGCAGCTTGCCCTGTGCCCCATACTAGCTTTGTGGCTCATCTCACAGATTTGAATGGAATGAGAGTCGCAGGTCTCAAACCACTAAATTTAAACTGCATTATATATTAGCTTTGTGGCTCATCTCACGGACTTAAATGGTACGAGAGCTCGCAGGTCACAAACCACGCCACTTTTTAAACTACGTCAAAGCTAACATACTTGCCTTTTTATATCTACCTATGGGGTATTTCATATACTAATTAATCAAATCTATGTAAGGAGTTATAGTAGTGTTACTATTGTAAATTGGGAGAGCGGAAAACGTTGCACGGTTTAGCTCCAATAGTTAACGTGGTTTGGACGCGATGGCATCTCACTTAACCAGGTGGGATTCAAGCATTAATGATAGTTGGGGAATAAAGAAAAGGCAGATCATTGTTTTATGTTACTTTATCAAGAAGGACGTTAACTCCTTTTTTTATTAAATTAGACAGCCTGTGCTTTTATACATTTTACGATCTTAAGAAACCTGACCTGTTAGAGGCTTCGTGCTATTACTTTAGCCTCACACAGCCTTTACACAAACTACTTGTATGCATATTGTACAATATTTATTTACTTTGTTCCGCATTCAGCATGATGCAGCAAGCAATTTATATAAAAACAAATATTGTGTTTAAACATTTTTTTTTAGTTGATATAATCAAAATGTCAGAAGAAATTACTAAAATGACTAGCAAATTAGATGAATTAAGTTTTACAAATTATAAAAAATTAGTAGATGAGGGGAATTCTGATGAAATATTTATGCTTGGTTATTGTTATGAACATGGAATTGGTGTAGAAAAGGATGTGTATAAGGCGTTCGCAAACTATCAGAAATCTGTAGAATTTAATAATTCTAACGGAATATTTCAAGTTGGTTTTTGTTATTATAATGGGATTGGAGTTGAAGTGGATAAACGCAAAGCATTTGAGCATTACTTAAAATCAGCTGAAATGGGGAATTCTATCGGAATCTTTAAAACTGCTATTTGTTACTATTACGGAATTGGCGTAGAAAAGGATGAAGAGAAATATTTTGAATGGAGTAAAAAGTAAGTGTAATTTTAATTTTTGCTTCAATATTTTATAATTTAACGTCACTTGTACAATTTAATTATTAGGGAGTAAGGATAATAAATATATTTATATATTAAAAGTCTGTATGTAATTCACATTTATAAATGTTTTATTTTTATATTAATTTAGCCCGTGAGTATAAAGAAGTTTTTGAATTAAAAATAGTATATCATGTTCACAATTTATTATATTTATTTATACAAATCTTATTCATAATATTAATTATACTTTCAAATTATTTATTTCAATTTATATTTTATTTAGTATGTGAGTATAAAGATGGTTAATCAGTTTCATTAAAATCATTAACATAAATACTTAATCATAAATACTTATCTCTAAATACTTATTTACAATTAATTACCTAATACTCTTCAAATAGTGTGTGAGTATATTAACGTTAATCAGAATCATGAACATAAATACTTATTCATAAATATATATCTCTAAATACTTATTTATAATTAATTATCTAATACCTTTCAAATAGTGTGTGAGTATATTAACGTTAATCAGTTTCATTAAAATCATAAACATCATAAATACTTATCTCTAAATACTTATTTACAATTAATTACCTAATACCCTTCAAATCATTTTATTCAGTTAGTGAGTATAAAGATGATTTATTAACGTTAATCAGTTTTATTAAAATCATGAACATAA